TTTTTTTTTTTTTTGTTGTTGTTCCCCTTCCTACTTATGTCGACGCGTGGGGAAGTTCCTTGTAGGTCGCATGCGGCCAAATTCCCCGGTGCCTGCCCCGGATGCATGGACTATACGGACTTGTACGCGTGTTGTATGCGCATGTTCGTGCATGTGCACGAGCCCACGTGCTAAGAAAACACCGCGCTTAAATTGCCTCCCCTTCTTATTCTAGTTCCTCCAACATGCACAAGCATATGTGCTATATAGGAACAGCGAAAGTGAAGCATACCTACTATAATCCTCCGCGATCCTTCGCGTACCCCGCTGATAATGCGAATTACATGCAAGGCAGTATGACAAGCACCTACAAAAAAAACACACCCCCTTTTCTCTTAGTATAGAATAAAAAGGGATAAGCTGCTTCCATTTTTGTAAGTGTACTTGCTCACGTACGCATCCGCGTGCCAATTTAGTGCACGTGCGTACATGTACATGTACGTGGCCAGGAATTGTACGTCCCTGTGTGCACGCATGCACTTGTCTTTTTGTACTTGAAATTGGAGTTCCTTTTGAAGAGGCAATTTATTTCTAGAAAAAGAAGCACGCGAGGGGCTGGGCACCAGAAGGTGCGGAAAGGGGGGATTTAAAAAAAAAAAAAAAAAAAAAAAAATGAGCCTGAATCTGAACTTGAATAGTGGGAGCTTGTTCCCATCGTCCACGTCGCTGCACGCATTCTGCAGTTAATTTTTTTTTTTTTTTTTTTTCAAGTACATGGGCAATTTCTGACCACGCGGCGTTCCCCTCGGCGATGTCGCAGGGGAAACTTCATTTGGGTTTTTTTTTTTTTTTTTCATTTTTTCTTCATTTTTTTTGTTTTTTTCCTTCCACAATTGAGTCAACCCCATAAGCGCTTCCTACCAACGCGCGAGCCACGTGCTAGGTGTACATGCTTGCCCAGGTGAAAAATCACCTACAGCTTTTACCCTCTCAATTTCTGTTTACCCTTGGCAACATGCAGTGGAATTATTCCTCTCAACAGAAGCCAACGGGTAAAGGAAAAAAAAAATAAATAAAATAAAAATAAAAAGAGGGGGAAAAAAGTACACCCCTGGAAGGCCATACATTACTTGTACACCCATGTGCAGAAGCTTGATTATATATCTCTCTTTCCCCTGAGTGCATAAAATTACTGCTCGAACAATAACGGCTGTATGCTTTACATTTACCACTGCCTTTTGAATGTGTAATTAGCAACGGTGTGCGATGTCCCTCCTCCCCGAGCCCCTTCACGGACGAACAAAAAAAAGGAGGAAGTTGTGTCTACCGCGTACCTTCCTGCAGGAAATGCAACGGGGGTTGTTTCTTTTTGTTTTTTTTAAGTGCCAATCGGGTAGCCATAAACACACCATTTCAGCCAAGCAGCACTTAACCAACCTTCCAGGTGCATGCTTTTTTTTTCCTAACTTGCAAAAGGAGGTATTCCCTTTCGTTCTCCCTTCTTTGGAAGGTCACATATAAGCGCATCAAGCGGGGTTCCAAAACATGTTACGATGAGGGTATTCTCATTTAAATGGGGAGGAGAAGTTAACACAACGACGCTTCCGTGGCTTCCTCCTGCGAATGTCCTTTTATCTCGTCACCACTTTTCATTTTGCAAACAAGTAAAAAAAAAAAAAAAAA